ACGGGAACACCCTCTAGAATCTTAATATCATATCAAATAATAAAATTCATCAAGAAGATGTCAATTGTTATATTTTGAGAGAAAAGATCGAACACAAACAAGAATTGAAGGTCAATTACAAAATTTTTTACATTCATTCATGATCGTGGTAATATTTATTTACAATTCTTCTTGTAAATTATACGAAATCATGTTGGCTAGATCCGTAATAGTATTGGATGAAGATGAACCCTGCTATTTATTTATTTTAATTAAAGATTAGTAGTTTAGTATTTCTTGATTAATTTTATATTTTCATTACATTATTTATTTATTTGGTCATCGATTAGATAATTAATTGCTTATTATAGTATTAGAAAACTCACAATAAATTTAGAATACGGTAATGTTAACACAAGATCAATAGATGTTAGGAAAAATAGTATCGCTTGTACAATCATATAGATAAAATTAATTTATTTTAAAAAAGAAAGTTAAATACCTTACCTTTATCGATTGCCAACAATGGATGTATGGAACTAAATTACATAATTGAGAATTGAAATGGATAGTAATAGACGGATTCTAAATCCAATACAATCATCATAATTTGATATAAACAACGCTTTATCATATTTCTTAGATTATTTTAGAATAATTACAAAGATCAAAACTCTTTTGTGTTACATATTTCAAATTCAATACATGACTAGTACATTTAAATTGAGATTTATTTTTTGTGGGACGATAATCTTAACGCATCATATCTATTAATTATCAACGACCTCATAAGCTTGCGGAAATTGTTTGAACAACCACCAAACTATTACTCAACCTTTGATCTCCCATCCTAGCAACCGGAAGAATTAACTCCAATATTACAAGCCTATAAACTAATGGATACACCTAATTTTTATCATCACAATCGGCTTTTCTGTGAGATCACTAAGACCTTTAAGCCTTTAAAATCTTTGTTAGTGCCTATATCAATAATATAGGCTACAATTGTAACAATGTCTTAACTAAATTTCATTAACATTATATTGTTTTAAAGAAAATTATATTTGGATTTTTGATCCCACAATAGAAAATGGCTGGTCCGCCTTTTTGTAATTGATACTATTGTCTCTAGCAAACGCAATTTCTTGAAATTATGCATTCATTGTTGACAATGTTAATTTGGCTGGTCCGCCTTTTTGTAATTGATACTATTTTCTCTAGCAAACGCAATTTCTTGAAATTATACATTCATTGTTGACAATGTTAATTTCACGTTATGGATGGGTTGATCAAAATAATCCCACAACAGCAAACATGCATAATCAACTCATTTACATTTCTTTTACTCATCAACACCGACACAAATGTTCTACTAATAATAAATATGCTACTTAGATTATTAAATAATTAACAGTGCCTGTACAATAAGCCGTATAGTGATGCCACTTTTGAGGACATTAGAGTCATAAGGCCTGCAATTTCTAATGTTCGTTTGAAGAACTAACATCAATATTCAGCCTAAGAGTGAAGGCAAACAACACTTTCTGTTTACGGCAAAACTGATAAAAGGCCAAACACCACGATCTACTTAAAAGAAATTATCTCCAGATGGATTAGACATAAATTTCAATTATCAATTTTTGAGTTTTGCTATGTGTACATTGGGACCCTGATGTAAAACTAACCTCATAGTGGAATGGTTGACGATTTTTTTATTGGGCGTGGATCCCTATTGTAAGGAGGCTATACACCAAAGCATCAAACTCCGGTGTAGAGATTGCAAAACCCTTAATTTATAGCTCCACGTTTAGCATGCATTACATTTCCTTTTCAAAAATCAATTTTGAGAATTCATAAGACCACCAAACCAATTATTTAAAGAACCCCATTACTCCTTAATTCATAGGACCCACACCCACACCCACCCACCAGTTATTAATTTATATGTATGAGCCAAAATATGTAAATCTCGGAAATATACGTTTTTCTAGTTGTGCATCTAAGTTCAAGATGACGACAAGTAAAGGATGATGGATCGTTGGAGGGAAAACACGTTTTCAATTTTTATCTTTATTTTATTTTATTTTTCATGGTTTCTATATCGTTTTTCAATTACTGCACTGTTTACGGAAACCAAGAGGGTGAAGATATATTTAAAATCAAATTAAGCTTTGTATTCTTTTAGAACTTTTAGAAAACGTTAGAATCATCCAAATTCTTTCTATTCAATTTTGAATTAACAATTTTATCGATCGAGATAAATAATTCAATGATCAACGAATACTTAATTTCTTATACTAACGGTGTCCTCATAATCTACATTTTCTAGACTTGTTATTTATTCATATTTTTTAATTATATTAATTTGATGTTAGAGCTTATCGCATTTTGAGAATTGTGAAGCCCGAATAGTTTTTTTATGTGACCATCTATTTTCTCATTTCAATCTAAAAGTGAAGGAATTAAATTTAGACGATAACCATAACTAAACCACTTTTTCCTTTCTCAATCTTAGCGTTCTTTAAAAAAAAAACTAATTAATCCAAGAGGGAAATAATTAAAAAAACCAATTAAAAAGAATTGTGAAAAACGATATCTGTAAAAAATTAGAGACGTGAACCAGTGACTCAATCTCGAATCCAAGAGTAAACAATAATATCATTAGGATTAGAGCATCGTTAGAAACGTTTAAAAAGTTATATTTTTGAAATAATTTTTTATTAGTATATAAAATTGAAAAAAGTAGGTTCCTATTCGACTGTAAACTAAGAATTACTTTTCTTAATAAATATTTATTATTCGTGGAGTTAAAATATATATTTATTCAAATATGTTATTATAGTTGTCAATTTCATCTGCAGTCATTAAACTTTAAATAAGATTTTGATAGGGACAATAAACTTTAATTTGTCTCATTCTGATAATTGAGCTTTAATTTAGTTTTTAATTTTACCAATCTGTTACATTCTACCATTTATCATTCCAAAATTGATAGAGATTGCTTAAATGACGGTCATATCATAATCAATATGTAACGCCCCAAAATTTCATACTTTTTGTGGTGTTATAAAAAATTAATTTCATTTACTTTTATTTACTTAAAATGTGGAAAGATAAAATTTTTTAATAAACAAAATATTGGAACATTCACAAGTTTAAATTTGAATCATAAAATCGTGTTTTTAAAAAAAATAATTTTAACATTCTCAACTAATAAATTCACTATTAATGTTATTGAACAACATAAAATACTAAATTTAAAGGCAGTAAAACTTGACATTTTCGTATGTCGAAATCCCTTGGCATTCCATTGCACCATCCCTCTATNTCGAAATCCCTTGGCAGTCCGCTGCACAATCCTACCACAGCTCCGATCTACCCGATCTAGCCTGTAAAAATTTGTAGAAGTGAGTATTTTAAAAACACCTAGTAAGATATGTGCAGTTTCCATAAACAATTATATAACAATAACATAGACAATTCATACCACGTTTGTCTTTGTGGAGTATATCGGTGACCAAACGAGATACCATCATTTCTCATTTTGAATTCTCGAAAGATTTCACATTTCATTCTAAAGAACCTAAAAAAGTTCACATTCCGTTAGGTCGAACCCGAAAGTCCACTCACAATTCATGCATAAATTATTGAATATAAAAATATACGGAAACATACCACTTGCACAAAACATATATTATCTTGATTGTTCAAACGAGTTTTTGAAAAAAAATATACTATAAATTTACAGTTGCTTTATATGAAAGCTGCCGTATAAAATTTCTTTGGTGGTGAATTGTGCTACAATTGACATTATTTATAGTTGAAAAATTTAGTGGTTCAGTCATAATGAAATTGTGATGGATTATCACATTTGATAAAAATTGAATTTCTAGTAAACCAATCACAAGGTGACATGTATACAAAATACTTACCAAACAAAAAGGTAGTTTGAATCCTAATACATGATAGTGATGGTAACTTGACTTTAAATAGAATTCTAAAAAATAATAATTATCCCACATCCATTCACGTGACTATCTTTATCCCACTTTGATTTAAAAATAAATAAATAAATAAATTACAATTCTTTGAATTTCAATATTTTGAGACTAATTTATCCGAATTAACTTTTTCTCTCGAGCCTAATTTACACGATGAATTACGAGTTAACCAACGAGACTCATATTGCTATACTTTTAGTCGCTTTAACAATATCTAAAATTTAGCCCAAAATTCGAAGTTAATACATATATTACTTCAGTCTCTTAACTTCAAAATAATAAAAATATAATATATAGAACAAATAAATTTTTATTCTAAAATTTTCGGGTTGTTACAAGATATTTCACGATATTCTAAAATTTTTAAATGGTAATATCTTAAATTTGTTTATCTTTATTTTTGTGCATGAGTACGTTTAATTAATTACTTAAGGATTTCTTATAGTAGATTATATTAAGGATTTTGTTTGCTGCATTATTATAACATTTATAAGTTGAAATATCTATTAAAATACTAAAGAGATAATATCAAAAACACCTCTAGATTTCTATGATATATTAGAGACACTCTCTTAAGTTTAAAAATCACACTAACCTCACATATTTCTTAGTTCGAGTATCATATTCACCGTTGACAAGTTTCGAGTCATATCTCGTATAAAATTGGGTCGATACTATTATTTAAAGTTTAATTTGTTCCCTCAATGATAAGTTAATACTTAAACATGTCTTTTTCATAGTTAATAGCCAATGTACCTTACAGTTTTCTTTCCACTAACCTGTGAATTCATTATTGTTTATGACAATTTTGTTATTTTATAATTTATGGCAAAGTTATATCTAATCGTAGAAAATTTTGATTTTTCTTCGTAAGGACATTTTAATAATCCCAACTTTTTCCCTAAAATATCAATATCCACTGTAGAACACAATTATTTCATCTATAAATAATAACATTAACAACCACTCTGGACACCACTAAAACTTTGGCAAGCATTTCCATTTCAGTTTGCATTATCAATGGCAGAATACGGTTCCACGGAGATTTTGACAAAAACCCCAGCTCATGATGAAGAAGAATCTAAACGCTTCCCATATGCAATGCAGCTTGTGACTTCTTCTGTGCTACCCATGACGTTGAATGCAGCCATGGAACTGAATGTATTCGAAATTCTTGCCAAAGCCGGTCCTGATGCACAAATTTCTCCTCACGAGATTGCGTCCCATATGCCCACTACAAACTCCGATGCACCTGCCATGCTCGACCGGATGCTTCGGCTCCTCGTAAGCTACTCAGTGATTACTTGCTCCGTCAGCGATGGCCAACGACGTTATGGGCTAGCACCAGTCGCCAAATACTTTGTGCAGAATGAAGATGGAGTTTCACTTTGTCCTCTCATGGCCTTGCTTCAGGATAAGGTCTTCATCGACAGCTGGTTAGTTTTTTTTTTTGTTTTAAATGAGATTACCCTAAAAAGGAACTGATCCAGAACCGAATCACGAGTTCGGGCTAATATATATAAATTTTTACATAAAAAAATTCGGTGGGCTGGGACTGGGTGGGGCATCCGTCCCGTCCCTAAGTAACTGAGCTGAGTGATATTTAACTTGTTCAGATTACAAGATCAACTTATGTGATTTAACTCCATAATAGGTACAAATTAAAAGATGCGGTTCTTGAAGGAGGTGTTCCATTTGACAAGGTTCACGGTTCTCATGCATTTGAATATCCTGGAAAGGATCCTAGGTTCAATCAAGTTTTCAACAAGGCAATGACCAATCATACAACTGTTGTTATGAAACAAATTCTTCAGCACTACAAAGGTTTCGACCACCTCAAAACTTTGGTCGACGTTGGTGGGAGTCTTGGCGTCACACTTAACATGATCACGACGAGATATCCCACCATTAGTGGGATCAATTTCGATTTGCCACATGTTATACGAGAGGCACCATCCTATCCTGGTATGATTTTGTTCTTTCGATCCCGTTTACTAACTAGTAAAAGCTTATAAATGCTTAAAATTGAAGTTAAGTTTTGGATGCAGGTGTCAAACATGTTGGAGGAGACATGTTTGAAAGTGTTCCTGGCGGAGATGCCATTTTCATGAAAGTAAGCAGAAAATTTCC